TTTTGAAGCAGAGTATCTACGCCATTGGTTTGATGTGACTCAACTTTTTCACGTTGAGTGACATTTTAATTATGCATTATGTAGGTATCTCGTGTATCTCAAAAACAGTGGTTTCAAAAACCCATTTGTTGTAGCAGAATGGCATTATTCTTTCTTACTCTATTGATTCCTAAATTTTCGTGATTCCTGACAACCTGTATACGTGTGTAGCTATTTTAAAACTATTTAAACCAAAAAGGAGAGAACTTCTGCCCACGGATCTTCCTCAAAGAGTTCGTTTTTGTGGATGGTGGAGTAATCATCATCAAGAACTCTTTTCTTTAGCGAAGCTACATTTACAAGAGATAGAATAAACAATTTCTAAAACGATCATATGAAGGCAATCGAAAACCCTCATTCTATTCGAGAAACTCAGTTTCATAGAAGATGCTTCGTAAACGTTTGGGCTGGAATAATTAATAATTAAGTTATCGGGCCACATTTCTTCAATGGAAATTTGAACAGCGAGATGTACCAAGCTTTTTTGTAGAACGATCTACTTTTACTACTTCAGGACATTCCTCTTCAAATCACAAAGACGATGTTTTTTCTACATGATGATGCTCCGTCCCATTATGGAAGAGGTGTCACTAATTTCTTCAACGAAAAGTATCCAAATCTATGGATAGGTCGTGGTGGTTTTATTGCTTCGCCACCGCGATTTCCGTATCACAACCTATTGGACTTTCTCATATGGGTACATCTGAAGACCTATTCAATGGAAAAACCTAATTGCAAGGATCAACTCATTGAGAAGATTCATACAGCGTTTGATGAGGTGAAAAACAATATGGAGAACTAACACTGGGAACGAAAGCTTCAACAGAGGATAGAGTTATGCATTGCACAAGGCGGTGGTCACATTGAGCAGCTTTAATAATTATACTGTCATTACGCTTTTATTAAAATAAACCATATTTTTTTCTAAACCCTCTAGTCGCAACAATGTAATATACTCTTTAGCAACTTTCGACCTGGCAACTTCAAACTCCGATATTTCAAGAACCATTGGGAATTCGGGAAAAGTGAATAGAATCGTTTTTACTTAAAATTAGTCATGTAACTCATATACGTAGTATCTCGGACACCTCGCGGGTAATCCTGTGTATCATTCCGTTTAAAATTTGAAAAAAAAAATGCGGAAAGTTCGTTAGTTCTTCAAAAGCCGCCTTCTGACGATTAAGTGAAACATGTTCTTTTCAATTAAATGGAATTGGCAAATTCTGGTTAAGCCACACCAAAGTTAGTCATTTCATTCAAACAATATTGTCCCTCTCGTTCTGTTCTTATTTGACGAAAGTAAACTTTGCTCAAGTATGAAAATATTTCAGATCCATTGTCTAAGTGTATCTAGAAAAAAAAATTTTTTTTCGCCATCTTATAGCAAACTCAGAAATTCAAAAATAATTTCTATTGTTCCCGTTCCTGATGTCCTTTCTTACTTATACACCCGGTATTGATTATTTTTGAGTAAGTAACTCATATCCCACTCCTTTTGAATTAAATTAGGAAAAAAGAATTAAGCACTTCTTACGGCGTTTACATACTGTATAAATATTTTACTTTGGTGTGCGTATAAATAAAAATATTACTTCTGAGGTACTTGTTGCCTTTTCTATTCATTCTCACTACAATGTAGCCTACGATTTTTATAATAAGACAAATTAGACCCGTGAAGCAGACAAAAGAATGTTAACCCCATTTCCACTCTATGTACGGCAGGCATTGGCCCCAGCGCTATTACGGATACACGACTTTATCGTTGCCGAGTGTTTGCCTGCAACTCATTGCAGGATGGTTCTAATGACATCCCGTGGCCGACATTATTCTAGTTCCATTGTTATCTTCTGTAACTGTGTTTAGATAATAAGCCACATTCTCGGAAAATGCTGTCTAATTACAACAATGCAGAACACTGCATGCCCATTCTTACCTTAATTTTAAAATTACATTACGCTATTTAAAAGGAAATACCTCTGCCTGTTACTGGAACATGCACTTGCAGTGTAATGCAGTTTGGACTTGTTGCAAATTCAGGGTGGAAACAATCTATTAGTATTTATATTTTAGAAAAATATGCGCATTTCGGATTCATTTTCTAAACAAGACAATCGATCTTCACAGAAATATATACTTTAAGGGCCGGATTTTCCAACCGCTAATTAAATTTATTTTCGCCAATCGACATTAAAGGAATACTTTAGTGACAGCTGCCAGGCACTACTGCCTAGGCATTAGAATCATTTTTACTGCCGCTAAACTAAAAATTAAAATTTGTTCTTTAATGAAAGTAATTTTATTTATTGTAAATTTATTGTATTTATAGTGAAATTGGAATAGCGTGTAACCTTGTTCTGTTTGTTTTGAAACATTTACTTCGTCTATGTATGAAGTGTTTTCACTAGTACAGTGCAACCTCTTTAATCCGAACACAAGTTAATTCGATCACACGCTAATCCGAATGGCCAAATCTGAACGATGACAAGAAATAACTAGATCGCTTCGCGCGTAGTCGGCAGTCGTTCGCGCCTGTCCGCCCAATGTTTGTTTGCCAATAGCGAAGAACCTGTTGCGTGTCGTGTTTTGTGTAACAGTTTTGGAGCTTTTTTAAAGTAAGAAAAATAAAAAATGTGAAAATCGTAAAATAATACATATATGTATATGTAACTACATGTTTATGTTTTACCTTATAAGTTTTATGTGTCTTATATGATTTATAGTTATATTGTTATAATAAAAGGTGTATGTACTTACATAATATATATATGTATATAT